CCCCCCCCCGGGATCTCCCCCCCTCCCCCGGCCTGCCTCTGCGTCCCCCCTCTTCCTCCTAGCACCCCCCTCCCCCACGGGATCTGCGTCCTTCCCCAGGCTTGTCTCTGCGTGCCCCCTCGTCCTCCTAGCACCGACCCCCCCCCCACGGGATCTGCCTCCCAACACCCGGCCGCCCCCTCTTTCTCTTAGCACCTTCTGGTCTATGAGGGCCAGCACCTCATGGAAGGGGGGATGTAAAACAAAGTGTTCCTGCCCTGAAGGCAAGACTACTTAAGCAGTGGGAAGCTATCATCCCTTTGTCTTCAGCTGGCTTGGCACACTCCAAAAAGATACACAGAGAGAGGGGTGGGGAGAAAGGAGAGGGAAGACCCAAGTCAGAGTGAGAGTTGGTCGGTGCTTGAAATAAGAACAGCTCTTTAGGGTAAGAATCTGCTTGGAATAAATTTCTTAATAAATTAGAACTAGCTGTGCATTTTATTTTATTTTTAATTCAGTTACTTCCTTTGATCTCTGTTTTTACTTGCAACCACTTAAATCCTACTGTTTGCACTTAATAAAAACACTTATTTTCTTTCATCCCTCGTGTAAATAATTGTTACTTGGGGGGGAATGACTAGTGCACATCTCTTTCTTTCACTGGTGATCATCCTTATGAGCTTTCCCTGTGTAAAACTTTTGCACAGAGAAAGATGGATTTATGTGGGGTTTTGATCCCTTTTGAGGGTTAGTTTCCTGGGTACTGTGTCCTGGATCTGCATCCTCCCAGAGCTGAAGTGGTTCAGTGTCTGTATTTCTCTTTAGGGAGGTGGTTACCTCAAATTTGTGCCTTGTCTGGGGAAGACCAGAGTATTTGGCCTAGCAAGACAGCGTGGTGTGGAGCACCATAGAGCAAGCAAGGGGGGTGTCAGTCCCTTTGAAATTGTTCCCTGATGCCATGATCAGTACACCGGGGAACAATCCCAAAGGGACTTCTGTGACTTTACCCTGTTGTTCTTAGGCTGCATCTGTAAAAGGGTAACTCAGTGCTTTGTGTCTCCAGCCACAGGGCACATTGGTGCTTGTTGTGTTCCTTTTGGAAAATATGGATGCTTGTTCACTAAGCCCAATAGCTCCCTTCTCTCACAGGCTAAAATTGACTGTTGTTGGCATTTCTTGGTGTGTGTAACATTAAATCTACTATGTATAGTGTGAGGTAAGGATGTTAGGAAGTGAGTAATTAGCTAATTGTGTAGTTGTTAGAATTTCTATCAACTACATGATTAGTCAATAAGGGAGGAAGTCTCAAGTCCCAGCTCATGCTGGGTCGTAAGCTAGTACCTGCAGCAGCTCTGCAGTTTAAATGCCTGTCTCTTCCTACATTTAAGCTGCAGAGCCCTGTCCCCAGCCACAAAGTCCCTGCCTACGGCAGCCTGGGCTGGCCGCGAACATAGGCTGCTCTGGCAACAGCATCTGTCTGCAGGCAGAGGCTGCTTCATGGCAGCCTCTCCTGACTGACACTGACACACACCCACTCCCCCTGCTGCTCTGATAGAGGCAGCTGTGGCGGGGAGGGCAGTGTGGAAAGGGAACTGGCTTTTAAACTGGCTCCCCCCAGCTCCTGCGTCTCTTCTCCCTTGCTGATACAGATGCAGCAAGTGTGTTTGGGGAAAAATGCAAGTAGTTGACTTGACTAGCTGATAAGACTACCCCCTTACGTTCTTAATAGGAGGATAAGGGAGAATAAGACTATTTCAAGTTGAAAGATTTTCTTAATGTGAGTTGTGAATCTGGCTTTTACAGGCAGGGTGAGGTATTGGAAACTAACAAAAAAATTGCTTTAGATTAAAGTAACCTCTAATATTGATCTTTATATTAATGCTCCTGACTTCTTTGTTTTCGGCATGCAGGTTAGTCTATCTTCTTGGAGTGTATTTAAAAACATCTGTTCAGTGATGACACCGGAAGACAGGCTGTTTCTTTTTTTCTTTTCTTTTCTTTTTTTTTAAATGACACTAGCTTGCTACACCTGTGGGTAGAACCAGACAATCTCTAGGCTTTCGAATAAACTCTTACAAGAAAAAATAAAAAAAGCCAAAACCAGCATATAATTTGTGAGTGAACACTTTTCAGAAAGTGATCACTGTCCTTATCTCAAAGGAAGCCATAGCACTTTTAGAAGATGAGCCGGGGAGCTTATGTTCACAACTTTAAGGGGGGACATGATAGCGGTTTTCAAATATCTAAAAGGGTGTCACAAGGAGGAAGGCGAAAATTTGTTCCTCTTGGTTTCTGAGGACAGGACAAGGAGTAATGGGCTTAAAGTGCAGCAGGGGAGATTTAGATTGGACATTAGGAAAAAAATCCTAACTGTCAGGGTGGTCAAATATTGGAATAAATTGCCAAGGGAGGTGGTGGAATCTCCCTCTCTGGAGATATTTAAGAACAGGTTAGATAGACATCTGTCAGGGATGGTGTAGACGGAGCTTGATCCTGCCTTGAGGGCGGGGGGCTGGACTCGATGACCTCTCGAGGTCCCTTCCAGTCCTATTATTCTATGATTCTATAACTTTGCTAGACATTAAAATTAGACTAAATAGAGACTCTTGCCACATCTAAACTGCGAAGTTGGCCTTATGTACATTGTCATATAGCTGCTACAGTAATTACATTGCTTGTATGTGTTTGTCATGACACTGCTGCATGTCCCATTTATGCCCCTTTCCTCTCTATGCCACGAGTCATCTGCTCGTAGATGTCAAAGTTGCTATGGCTGGATCAGCTGCAGCTGCACACTTGCCTTTCCCCACATGCCCAAGAAATCCAGAAAGTCTGATGAGCTTCAGACAGGA